AATTGCTTAAGGTCACAAAGAAGTTTGGATTAGAACTGGAATCGAATGTACATCTCAGTCTGGCATCTCAACTACAAGGTCATTCCCTTGGGCACAGGGTTTGGACCACTTTGCTTTATTTGCCACTTCCATTGCTGTGGCTTGACTCACTGTTTGCACCCTGAATGTTCCAACAAGCACAGTAAAGATAGCATCCCCTCTAAACACAAGAGTTGTCCATATGGACTACCTGAGACTTCGCTGATGGCCATTTAGCTGTCCCAGCAGACACCTTGTACAGTGATTCCCTGATGAGATAAAAACAGAGATTGTGGTCACTATGGCTCTTAGCATTTAAAAGTGAATACATGAAGGAGTTTAGCAATGGGAACTACTTGTTCAAATCAGAAGTTCTGAGAACTTTGGGAAAAGCTTCTAAATCAGCTTAGAACATAAACCCAAAGGATGCCCAAAAACTGGTCAGGAGGAAAATCAGAAGGGTTTCAAAATCCAGCATCAAACTGAAATCTCGGCTTCAGAAAGTGCCAGTGGGTCCGTAAGTTTTCCACTAAGTTCCCAACATTTCCCCTGGTGTGATTTTTCCCCTGCAAGCTGGCATTTATTGCACCCTGCTTTTGTGACCTACCGGCAGGGCTTGGGGCACTGCTCGAAACAATTGAGGTGATGGTTTCGGAGCCTGTTGTACAGCTGGTAAAAGCAGTGACCTGGTGAGAGAAACGGAACGCACTCAGACACTTCCTCAGGGAATGGAAGGCTACCAAACCCTCTGCCCTCACCTTGGCCTTCCCAAGCGCACAGCACTCTCTAAGAGACCTATTTTTGGCTCACTCTCACTTTGGAATGGCTCCAAATGGAACTAATTACGTGTGTGCAGTGAGATCTGCTGAGGGCAGGCGAACCAGCTAAAGCAAGAGAAATTCAAAGCTTTGTCTTACAGCAGCACAGCCACCAATGCTGAGAACACAAAAGAGCTTGACCTTATATTAATGGCCTTAATAAAAGGATGTTTGATAGCACTGAGATTTTTTTATGCACTATATCCATGATATTTCCACACAGAAAGGGGTCTGCCATCTGGCTGGATTCAGCGATGTGAGGTCTAAGCAGGAAATAGGCACAAAGTAGAAGGGCAGATCTATGGAGTCATGTCAGCAGTGACCGCTGCAGGAAGGTGTTCATTCCACAAGGACAGGAGAGCAGGCTGCTGCTCTTACCCCACGCAGGCTGCTTGTTGTAGTCACAGTACTCAGCACCAGGAGGCAGCGGGTAGTAGTAGTAGCCACAGCCGCATTTCCGAACCATTATGTGCTGAAAGCAGGAATGCAGACAAGCCTGGGAAATGGAGAAGGCATAAAAAATTGGGATGAGCCAGAAACTCTCAAGTGCCCCAACCTCCAGCAGAAGCCTGCAGCTGGTAGGAGACAACACACAGCTCTGTCAGTGCAAAAAGACAGCAGCCAGTACTCGAGTGTGATGATGCAAAAGGTTTTCACTTTCCATTCCTTGTCTTTACCTCTCAGAGCAGTATTGAGCTCAGTCAGAAATCTCCCCCGTTTTCATTATGGGAGTAACATCTCAGTTAAACAAACACCCAGAGCCGAGAGCAACTGCTTACACAAATAAAGACCTGATGGCCCAAGAATTTCCTACCAGAGCAGTCCAGCTGCCTTGACTGGCTCACTGCCTGATCTTTCTTGTGTTACAAGGAGGGAAGAGCCCTGGTGTCTGAGTATCCTCCACGCAGTCAAATACATCCCAAGTTACAAACCCCTGTTTGTGAGCTTCTTTTCAGAGGGGCATGAATCTCTCTGTTATCTCCAGCAGTGAACCTGCTGGTTTGTAAAAGCTCTCTGGACAGTAAAGTAGGACTTGTTTGCTATTAATCCACTGTGAATAAGCTGGGGCCTCAGCCAGCAGCTCTGACAATACCTGCAGGGTGTAGGAGTTGTTGTACAGGAGTTTAACATCCACATCATTGCCATTAGTCGTGCATTTCCCATAATTGCCACCCAGGCGATTCACCTCATCCTGTGGACACAGAGAAGAGGCCTGAGTGATTAGGAGCTGTAATTGGACCTATCCATCACCATCTAATCTTAACTGGATGGAGCATCATATAGAGGGCAGGAAATGTAGTAATAGACATGAGCAGCCGAGCTATACCTTGCTAATAAAACATACACAGTACCAGGGCAAAGGTAGGAGAGTGCACGTGGTAAATCACTATCCTTCAGGTGACAAGCAGTAACTCATCATGTCAAATAACTAAATCACTACTGAATGTTTGCTCTCATCCTGCTATACACATGCAGCCCCCTGTGTAGAGCTGGAATGAGGTGTAAGAGCCCCACAGGACCTTTGTACTGAGGACCAAAAGGCTCCTTGCACATTTGGAATCATTCTGGTTTACCCACTGGAACCTGAGCCCAGTGAAGAGAGAAAAGGGGTTTGCACATATATACATATACATGTACACCTGCTACTACATGTACATGCACAGTCAGGAAGTGAACCCAGGAGTCCCACAGGTGTGTAAGAAAACAACCAATGCTCCCGAGCAAGTGGCTAACCTGCTGAATGCCTATGGTAGTTGCAATGCCTGGTCTGATGTCAAAGCCTTCATGCTCCAGGAATGGTGTCTGATTGTGGTTGTGTATCATCACTTTCACACCTGCTACTGTAGACAAGAGCGGGATGTGATCCTTCTGCTCTGCTCTCAGGATAAGGGAAAGTCCTGTCAACCAGAGAAAGGGAAGCAGATAACAACTTATTTTGGGCCAAAATAGGAACCTCACTAAGTCTTGAATTCTCAGCACTGATGGAATTGCTGTTTTAACTCACAGAAGAGCCATTCTTTTTCTAGAGTCCCAGTAAGTGATCAGGTAATAACTGCACCAGCTTATTCCAAAACTAGTAATATTCTGCTTGCTGTAGGTTAAGATATTGCTGATATGGTTATCATGTATATGTGGCTAGTGAAGCAAGCAAATAGAGTACACCATTTGTGCCACCAGACTAGAAGAGGGGGCTGTATCTCAGTAAGCTGTGTACAGAAGGTGTATTTAAGCCATAGCCAAATTATATTAACTTTACCTTTTTTTCCCACCCTTTGCCAAATAACATACCATAAGGAATTCCTGGTTTTGTAGCTGTCCAAAAAGAGTCTGTTCCCTTGCTGTTAAAAGTATAGCAGCTTCCAAAGACTGGGTGGTGAAAGTGAACATAGTCACTGAAATCAAGAGAGATGTTAAGGGGTTTTAATTATGAGTGTAGCAGCACCTTTACTTCTATGTAGGATGTGTTTTGTGTATGTCTGTGTGTGTACAGCAGTGCCTACGGGAAGGAGCTGTTAACTCACTGGAGAGTACATAAAAGCACCAGAAACACTAAATGCAGAAGAATTAAGAGTCAATTGCCTCCAGGAAAGATAAAAAAGGACCTTATCTCATAAAATGATCCACAACCACCTTTGCAGACCTTCTTCCTCTTTGCTGGAAGTGTTCAGAAACACTTAAATTTGCCTTCTGCTTATTCTGAGTCATGGATGAGTGCACTGGTGTATGTGGAAGATACATTTGTGGAAGAGCTTCCAAGAGTGGAGACCTTAGGCATGCAGGAAAAAGAAGGTACCTTTGCCATGGGTATGTGCAGCAGGCTCATGTCTTTGCCTCTAGGGACAAAAGGATGTCTAAAGGCCATCTGACCCTTTTGGGGTTCATTGAATTTCTATTTCTGAATTTCTGATCATGAAAGGCTGCTCTTTCTTTCTTTCAGCTGGATTTCCAACCAGGGCTAAGCCTGGCAGTAGGCCATAAGGTGAAGAGTAGTCTCAGTTTCATCTCCCAAGCCCTTGAGCTCTGCTGATCACAACCAGAGCCTCAAGAAGTAACATACCTGGGTCTGCAGGGCTCCCCATCATACTGACAGGAGTAAACCATATCTTCTATTTGCTCCTCATGATCAGAAATGTTGATTATAACAGGTAGCTGGGACATGATATTCATGTAGTGAAACCTGTACCATTCAAGAATCGCATCCATCCCAGATGAGTAAGTCTTGTAGAAGCAATTCCCACCTGTGGCATTGCACTGGAAGAAGAGAGGGGCCATTCAGTACAGCCAGGACATAACAGTCTGAGGGTAACAGAGATCAGGGGGTAAAGGCAATGCTGGATACAGGAACAAGGGGAACCACTATTTTTTTCATCAGAAATTGAAGTTTCTGATCATTTTAGTTATCACAGAATGGCTGAGGCTGGATGGGACCTCTGGACATCTTGTTATGTGGGAAGCACCTCCTCTCCTCCAGCTGAGTTAGGTGTGCTGCTTGATCTCAGTGTGAGGGAAAAGAGGACAGGGCTAGTGGGAATTCTCTATAGTCCATGAATCAAGAGCCAAGTCCTGAGACACTTTCTTTGTTCTTACTCTCAGGCCTCAGACAAGTGAACACCCCCAGATTCTGGTGGAAGCGGGTGAAAGACTTCAGGATGGGGTAAAATGATGATAATCAGGCAAAAATTGCTGGTCTTTCAAGCTATGTCAATCTCTCTCTGGCTTCTGCTCTTAGATCGATACTAAACCTGGTTTTGATATGAAGAATCCAAAGCATTTGTGCTCTTGTCCAGTCACAGATGCACATTTATTGTATTCATCTTGATTTTTTATTGCCATCTTTTGTTTTACCTACAACAGTTTTAGTGCCCCAGTACCACGGCGTTTAGACACTGAGGGGATCCTTGCATGTCGTTTCTCTGTCATTTCTTGGCTCACCAGCTCAGTCTAGGTGTTTTGTACATGTTTAGAAAGGGGTACAATGATTTTTCACTCATTGTTTTGAATGTACCTCGTGAGAGCTTTGTCAGGGCCCTGAGGGCACTGTTAGGCTTTAACAGCCCTAAACAGCCTCACCTGGGGCCTCCAACCACACCCTCTGCCCATGGGCTCAGCAGCCTATTTAAACTCAGCCCAGGGGCTTCAGCTCTTCTGTGGGCTGGGGTCTAGAGCTGCTTTTCAGCCAGGCTGCTGTGCTCTTGCTTCACTGTGGACCCTCTTGATCCAGTGAGTAAACTTCATAGCCTGATCTCAAACCTGCCTCATCACCATGAACCTCTTGATGAGCTGGAGCTTGGCTGGCCTGGACATCATCTGTGGGCTTTCCCTGCTTGCTTGCTCAGGTACTTGTGGGCTCCCCTCTGTCTCCTGTCCTTTAGGAAGCATCCAGTTCTATCTGCTGTGTCTGTAGCCAGGTTAAAGTCTCAAAGAGGACATGAACTTACCAGCCTGAAGCCCACCCTGGAATGCTTCTTCCCTGACCTGTTATTGTGGCCAGGCATTCTTAAGAGTGAGAAGTTTTGGCTCAGCTTGAAGGTAGATCTGCTGAGGTTGCCTATGCTTGACAGGTCTTTTATGTGGATGTTTTTCTCATTCATGTGGATTAAGCTGGCTGATGTGTTGATGCCATACAGAAAAGCAATGGATTTCTCTGCCATGTGATCCAGCTGAACAAGATGTTCACTGACCAGTTCAAATCTGCAAGGAACAGAAGTATTTGTGAATATCCACATTTCTATTACACAAAGGCACTCTATTTTATGTACCTTGTGTATTTTATGTATGTATGGAAGAGCTACTCTCCTGATCTCTGCAGACCTCTGTGTGAGCAGTTAGTAACTATGGTACCTATGCTTAACATACATAACTTAACTAGTAGTAGTAGCTGACTTTCCAGTTGCTGGATCCTGTACTGTAAACCTCAGAACTTGCAGCTGTGCAGCATCAGCAGCACAAACTGTTCTTCCTGTCAGCCAGCTAGATAATTATTCTGAGGAAACTACATAATTCCTTTACTATGTCATTTGAAATGTCTTGAGAAGTTGCCACTCTTGTGTGAGCCCTGTTTGACAAGCAGAGCCACACAGCCTTCTATAGAAGTTATGTTCTTTCCTTAAAGCCATTCTGTGGTATGAAAACCCAAGCAGAATCAGCTCTAGCATGTATCACTCCAGGGACTGGGAGTTTACTTAGGAGTGAATGCACACAGTAGCCATGTTTTCATCAGAGCACAAAATCAGTTAGCAGCTTGAGCCAAGTCACAAGGTGAAGTTCCCTCTATCCTGACTCAGTGTGTGAAACAAACTGCTACAAGCTGTTGCACAATTCCCAACAAGATCTTATCCTAAAACCAGTTTGGAAGTAACAATAGTCCATTTCCACCTCTGAGAGGCAGAGAGGCTCCTCCAGGCTGCAGTCATCACCTTGCTAACCCTTCCTGAACTCTTGCGACTAAAGAGATGACTACAAGGAGAAAGCACAGGTTACCTGTATGGGTCCAGGTTGCAGATGGTTATAGCTGGGAACATCTTAGGCCCTGAATGCATTGACATGGTCAGGACAACAGGGTAGGCCCAGTACTGGCTGAACATGAGTGCAAACTGCCAGTATAACATGCCAAAGCTGGCAAGAAAAAGCAGAGTCCAAAAAGCTGTTTTCATCCTATTGCTGTCTGAGCATACGAGGCGGATGGTGCCATGGATTGTTGTGTTCTTACAGAAGAACTCAAACATATCCTTGAAGGAATCATAAAACTCAATCAAGCCTTCTTTCTTCTCTTCTTCTCTTGCCACTTCCTGCTCCATCCTCTAAGTCTATTTCTGTTCAAGGCAAAAAGAGAAGTATCTTGTTAGAGACCACGGCCAATGTACGGGCTGTTTCAAACAGGGTGCCAATGAGTTTGCTGCTAGCAAAAGCTGAAAATAACTGTGAGCTGGGACACCAGGAAATAGTGCAAAGTTCAGATGTCCTGCATAGTGCTGCTCAAGGAACTCAAAGCAATCTATCACGTTTAGGCTGTGACTTCTCTGTTAGTATGGATACACAGAATTAGTGACTAACGCAGGAGCTGAGGAGTCTGCAGCCAAAGCGGTGTGTAGTTTTTTTTCTAAGAACACTAAGGATCAGCTTCTAACTCTGAAACACTGTCACTGTGCATTAACACAGATCTGGAACTAATGCATTATTATGAGTGTATTGCTAGAGGAACAAGCTGCCCTATAGCCTCAAACAAACCTGTCTCAACTAGCATTGTGGTTTCATTTCTATGTCAAGGAATCAGGATAAATCCAACCTTCAAGTCAATGAAAGGGACAAATTAGAATCTGGGTTTAATTTTTGCTGCAGAATGGAGGTAAACAGGATTAATTTCTACCATCCCTGAAACAGAGCTGCTTCCAGGATGAAATACAGTAAGTATTCCACAGCTAAGATGAGCAGAATGAGGTACTGGGAATGGAAGGGAGGAAAAACAACATCTCAATTGAAAACATAGAAGGGGTTAACTAAATTAGGATGTGTATAAAGCACTGCAGATACTAATTAAACTAAAATGCTGTTGGGTTGTTTCTGAAGACCCTAGAAATAGTAATTGTTGCTATTAACAGGACTATTGCCACCTATCTTTAACTTAAAGAGTTTCCTTCAGGAACCTAAAAATCATCTTTTATTTTACAGAAGAGAAAAGGGAACAAAAACTGAAAATCACTCAAGAGTGACATAACTGGAAATCAAAAATCCATCTCCTTTGTCACAGTAAGTAGAACATCTATTGTGCTACTCTCCATCGTTTCAGGCTTCATGCTGATAAAAGTGTGCTATTTATGCTCATATATATTGTAGCCAGCACAGACTGAGGAAACGTTCCAAACCGATACTAAAACCTAAGGATGTTGGACTAATGTTGACAGACTTCCACGTACTGAACATGACATCAAGTCCTGCAATCTGTGAGTTCCCAACATTACAGCACCCTGTGAATCACTCTACCTATTATGCTATTAAGAGAAGTTTACTCAGTGCACTTTGGTACAATCTCGACTTGAAATGAAAATCTTACAAGTACAGTATCAGAGTTTGAAGCCAAGACAAGGACTGCAGGAATAACTAAAGAATTGTTGCAATTGAGCTGTGTGATAAGGAAATGAAAGCTCAGGTCCTTTATTGAGTTATGGCTTTGAAGTGGTGGTGGTGGTGGCTTGGTCTGAGGTGCCAGTGCGGTTACCACAGCTGATACACAAAGCTGCAGTATCCTCATCCTCAAGCAGACCTCTCCATTTTAAACCATGGCTTTATTTCAGAGGTTCTTGGACTAGGATACTTCATAGGAAATTGTATCTTAGAATTCCAAACTGCTAAAACAGTGTATTAATGTCAGTAAGATTAGGAATAATCCTTAAGCAGCGAAGAGCACTCCAAAAGCTACTACCAGATTAGCTTTAAAATAGCCCACAGCATATTATCTGACAAGGAAACACAGATTATCACGAGCTATTTTCCCCACAGACCACCATACATACCATGTTAGTATTTTCTAAGGTATTGTTTAACAATAATACAAAGTTAACTCGAAGGCATCTGCACCTCCTGAATACTTTTGTTATTAAACATGACATGATTCTTCAGATTTTAGATGCACTTGCCATTAAACAAGGACAGGGAGCCAAAGCAAACTGAAACATTAAGAAACAGGGCATGAACAATTAGAAGAAAAGATGTGTGATAAAGAATCAAAGTGGGAAATGAGCATTTCCATGCTCTGCTACAAGGAAACGCAGACTACGCAGCACTCTGAACCACTGGTTACCCATTTTATCAACCAGATTTACAGCTGAAGGCATAGAGCTGAGGTTTCTTCACACAAAAGGGACTATCTGTGGCAAACTCCAGAAACAAATCCAACATGGTCTAGTTACACATTATTCAGATTAAACTCTAATGCTAAATTGCATGTTCAGCCTTTAACTTAGCTCTTTCTCATTTTAATGAGATAAGAATACATTAAAATGCGCCTGCAGTGTATGTTAAGGAACATATTGAATGAGTCCTTAAATATTTATGGTATTTAAAGATAGAAATGAAAACTGTGTGAGACTAAAACAGGAAAATGGAATTTGTTGCTGTTGTATGAATCCCACTTGTCAGCCTTGCTCTAATGAGAAAAAGGTTGAGTTACCAAAAGTGAGTGTTAAATGAAATCTATCAAGCACACTTTTTCTATGTATAGCTTTGAATCTAAAAAAGCACCTCTATACCATGGTTTTCAGTGGCAGTCCCCAGTTTTCAGACACTCTGACAGGGCTTTTAAAGCTATGTCTAGTTAGTTCATACCATTTGAATCTGCATTCTCAAAATAACTAGCACGAAAAAGCACATGATAATGCAGGTCACCCCAGGGGGAAGCTTCCAAAGCACACGTGTACAGGCAACGGAACACCCTCTCTCCATTGGTTTCCCAGATCAGCCTACCACTAATTTATTTAACATAGCAATTGCAGTCAGCAACTTGAAACACATAACAGTGACCAGTTGCCTGTCTTCTCTGTGGTAAATGCCTGGAGAGAGGCTGCAGGTTATAAGAAAGTCAGTGGAAGTTATAGAGCAGTGGCAAGCAAGTATATGTCTATGTATTATCACAGCAGCTCAAGGCTCAACACACACTAGACACTTAGACATGCATGTCATGTAGTCAAATACCTAACCATGTGTATATCTACATATCAAACATACATACACATATACAGAAATACAAAGTAGAGTAAAACCAGATTGAAGGAGACCCACTGTACCTTGGCAGAAACTCTATCTTTGAGTGTTTGAGTAGCCACTAGACTCAGCCTCCAGCTTTGTCCTGAGCAGAAGACAAGTCTTGGTCCAGAGTGTGCAGGATTCCTTCCCTAACTGGAGATACCCTGGGAGATCTCCAGCCTATATGGATTGTATCGATGACATCAAAAGGGGCAGGACTTAAAGAGATCATGGAAATTATTCAAAGCATGATCCAGGGAATAATAGGAAGTGAATGAACTGGACAAACAAGTTAACATGAAGGCTACGCTAGAGCTAAAGTTGGTTTGAGTGGTGGTGATGTGTTCTTTATTTAATGGCCAGGACAGCTTTTTAGCCATAATTCTTACAGATACAATCATAATTTCTACAAATACAGAGGGATGTAACCAAGGATCCTATAAGGTTCTTTCAGCTCTGATTTTTCCCATAAGGAACTAGCTTTCTGTCTTTCCATGGTTTCCGGAGGTTTGCAGGCTCCCCAGTAATTGAAGCCATTAAGGTTTCCACAGGTGTGCTTGAGGAATTACATACCTCTGTAATCTGAAATGATCAGCTACTCAGGCTAAGGCACACGTGGCAATGGATTTCTTCCTGCTTCTCCAAGAATATTGCTCATCTGTAGTGGGCTATTCCATCCCCATTAAATTCTTAATGCTGTTCTTCTCTTCAGATGTTGAGACTTGACTAGACTAAACCAACTATGACACTCGACTGAAATCAGAGCATCCTGGTTTTGTAATGCTGCTTATTTAAGGCTTGCAAAAGGCTGCATAAGTAATGCAGAAGTAGATTTGGAATTCTGAGGCTGCAGAGACACCAGCACCTAGGACTTCTTGCACAATTACTACTGACACTGGCCCAGTTGGAAAACAGCTCCCCAGTGGTTTTGCAAGAGGCTTTGTTATATGAAAATATGAATACTTTGGGTATGGGTAATGTTTAGAGTTCCAGATCAGCCCAGGGCTTTATGAGATTGGCTGGAACCAGGTGTGCTATTACCTTGGAAGTGTGAAACACTGCCATTTGCAAAGACAACTGAAACTGTCTATTAAACTGTATTCAAAAAGAAGAGGGAAAAGAGAGATATCAGGGGAAACGTGCTCTTCTGACTTTGATTTAAATCCTGTTCACATCTTTAGCAATTGCTTTGCGCTGGATTCTGCTTTAGGAAAACAGAACCTGTAGAACATGTGTCTCCCATTTTAAAATGATTAATCTAAAAGATGATGATCCTATTAAACAGCTTCTACTAATGTGATTTACCCCTCTTTGGTATTAAAAGGGAATGCCATAAAACATGTGAAAAATGGTTTAAATATTCCAAAAGCCAGTGTTTAGGGGTACAAAAATTAAACTTTTGCTTAAAAATATAATCCAACTGGCTCTTGAAAGAACAGCTACAACAGAGGCACTTGTCACTGGCTGATGAAGAGGTAAGCAGTTCAATTCTCGTTAAAGAACTCAAAAGACTGAAACCCAGATTCTGTCATGTCCATTTACTTGTCCCCCACCCTTCTTCCTCACTTCATTTTACATTGTGCAATAGAAAATCACAACAATAAATCCTTGACAATGAAATTATTGCACAATGAACATACACAAGACAAAGTCTGTTGCTTCATTATGGCTGCAGGCCTCAGTGTAGAGATTCTCTGGCAACACATCAGAACAATACCTTCTGAGCCAGCCATGAATTTTTCCTGCAGGAAATGGAGAAGAACTGGATATGCAGACAACGCTGTCCCTCAAGCAAGATACCATTTCTGTTTGCACTTGCTCATTTGTCATCGTGTATCCTCAACTGGGAGGAGAGGGGAAGAGAGCTCTGTCACTGGTTAAAAAGTAAGTTGGTTTTTCTTTCAAAATACAGAGATTATGGAGATAACACTCATGAGAGAGTCCTTTAGAGCTGCAAAATGGCTACGTTAGCATTACTCTGCAATGGGGCAGAAAATGTTTGTAATGCTCATAGTACCGTAGTGGAGGGAAGGAGTATATTGCATGCACAATAGAGCAGCAGCAAATGTCAGTGGTTGAATACACCCTCTGGATGTGCTACCCTTGACACAGAAGGATGCCTCCCACACTGTAAGTCTTCAAGCCCCTTTCCCTGAATTACAATTTCTCCCCCAATTGATATTAATTTGATATTAATGGAATTGCATCCCCTTTAGGTGATAAAAACCATACAGGTAAACAAAAGAAGGGAATTCTGACAGTTTGCTTTTAAGCTGTCATATATTGAAGGAACTGTCCAAATTCCACTCTTCCCTCTTTCTCTACACTAGCCTTGATTATTGTGCATACTCATTCTAGGTGGTGATGCAGTTCTTGCCTATCTGACAGACTGCTGAAACAAATGAGAATCGGGTGGTATAAAAATGCCACTAAACATGTCTTTGTCTTAACATCAGCACCAGCTCAGAGTAACAGAAGAGAAGTACAAAGAGTATCTTGCAGGCAGAGAGATGAGACTTTAGCTACTTCATGTGGGCAAGAAGAGTTAGAGAATTAATACTCCTCGTGGAATGGACTCGGGCACTTATGAAAATCTACCACAGACAATCATTTATCCTTGAGTACATCCTTACAGCTAGTGCACACGAAGAGCTTTGCTCTCTATAGATCAAATCTCTCATAACACTGACTTTGGTTGCTTATTAGACACTAAGCAGATGAGCAGTATAGGGACAGTTCAGCATGTAGACCATCCAGTATACCTGCCTCTTCCTACATTTGCTGTTGCTCCAGGCTTGAGGTCAGAGATTAAACTGGAGAAGCTTAGTGATGATCTCTGGCTGGTCCCTCTTGCTGTGACTGGCTCCTCCTCCAGAGCTCAGATATTCATGCTTTGTCCAATATGATTTTAAATGTCCAAAGCAAGAGGTGTCACCATGGCACTCTCCGCTCTCACATCTCACTTCTTGTGAGAACACTGAATTGCAGTGAGATGAGTCTGACCAGACAGAAGAGTGTTTTTGTCTTGCACAGCAATGAGAGGACACTAGCTACTCATTCATGAAGACTTTCCCAGTTGGTTGAAAATCACTTGCACTGAGAGACCTAAAACAAGCTAGCAAACTGAAAGGGCATATCAAAATCCCCCCCCACTTCCAGCAGCTTTCCCTGCTGCCATTCCACACTGTGAACTTTACTGTAATTTGCTGTTACAAGCCACACCAACTGTCTTTCAGTTATGAACTTTCTCCCTTATTACATCTGTTTCACACTATTACACACTCTCACACTTTAGAGTTTCATTACTTTCCATTATCCCTCAACTTGTCTTCCAGAGATTCCCCACTTTTCAGCATGTTGTTCTTCAGTCTGTGAGCTGAGAAAAGCAGCCTTTAGCATCCCTTCTGCTAGCAGTGGCAGGGACATGGAGCAGATCCTGCATTCTCCTGCCTTCAGGAGGCTTTGTAGATCTACAGTTTAAACTTCATTTTTAGCAAATCTTGCTTTACTCACGTCACTTGTTCCTGCATGAATGGTGGTTTATCCCCTGGAATGCTCCAGGCTGCTCTGTCAAACCATCTTCCACATTTGCTCTCGTTACACAGGATGCAGCATACCAACCCAGCTTTCCTCTCGCTGAAATCAGCGTGACTTGTCTCCTCTGGCTTTGTGGAAACTCCCTCACGGTGCTTTCTTCATGGCCACTGGATAAGCCAGTCTACTACTCCTCCCACTCAAAGGCTGACAGCCTTCTGTGGGCAACTAGGGAATAAGGAAACTCCCAGTGCTTCCTTTTTGCACTTGGTTGGCTGTGCTGTGTATGGACTTGAACTGGCACGCACCAGGCTCTGCCTCCTGAGTTTTTTCCTAGTTCTTACAAGCCAGAACCACTTTGTCATCATTTCAAAGCAGACTGTGAAATCGTTCCTGTGCTGTCCTACTGGAGAAAGGAGCAGTACTCAGAGGTATTATGGATGTGCTGACAACTTGTTCGGTCCTATGCAAGAGGCAGAACAAAGCAGTCCCTGCCCTGGAGAACTTCCAAACATTGCTTAATGTCTGCTTTTGATCCTGCTCTAAATGGTCCTGAACTGACTCTGATTTTTCAGGTGTTTTCCTCATCTCTGGAATCTGTGTTGAAGCTCTGCTCACCAAAAGTTCTTCTGAGAATCCCAACATTCATTGCTTTGCTTGTGTGATGCTCTGAGCCGTGGCTGAGGAGATCTCTATCTTGAAACCACAGTGAGCTATGCCTGCAGAAATAGGATAGCATCGGTGTACCTTGGTGTCCCTTTTGCACTGGTCTGCATCTAGCCAAAGCAGCTTTGAGTGCTGCAAAGGCTGCCAAACCTGCTCAAGGATGTAGGTAACACCGCTTAACTTGTGCTGAGCTCTTAGTGCTCTGGTTTTATCACCAGCAGTGCCTGGGTTGGCAAGGCTAAAGCTAGGTGGCACATCCTTACAAAACCCAGGAATCCCAGCACTGAGCACATGCATGCTCTGCTAGTCACCAGCCATTTAAACATTCCTTAATTACACCCCTTGCTCTGAAAAGGCCCCGCATAACCCCTGCTTTTCATTAGGCCTCCACCAGAGGCGCAGAGGGTTAAAACTGCAGCCTCAGTAGTAAAACCCTGCTTGCTTCCAGTATGACCAAGCATTCATTTCTACTCACTCACCTTTCTGAGTAAGATGTCTGTAGCTGCTCCTGTCATGCCTCTGGGATAACACCTGCCTTCTTGTTTCTCTTCCTGTTCTCTGTTCTTGTTTCTTTAGTCACAAGTCTTCATAGATAATGTTCCACTTGTTCAGACCTGTCAACCCCTCAGCCAATTCCAGAGATTCACAGGATGGTGAAATCCTGCTCGCTAGTGGTTTTTTCTTAATCCTACTCCAGCTCAGTACCTGTAGGAATGCTGATGCAATTAGGACTGGCAGAGGCTGGAGAACATCAGTAAAAGCTTCTTGTACTGTGGACATGTAAAACAGAGCCATCCTGGAATCACAGATACCATAACTCCGTCACAAATGAAGCCCAAACCTCCCCAAGCAGTTGTTCAAGCTCCTGGAGAAAGTGGCAGATGGTACTTCTGGCTCCTGTCTTCTGGCAGTAGACAAGTAGATCTTCCCTGGTGATCCCTACTCCTCTTGGTACCCAGGAAAGAGAGAGCAATGCAATGTTAAGGATCAATTCACTGGCGATAATCCAGTAGCTTTAGGCTTTCCTATTGGGAACTAGCAAAGATGTCAACAAGAGGAAGAGGTACTACAGTATGGCAGCTAGGAAGGAGGGGAATGAAGAAACCGGGAACAAACTGCGCAAGGGCAAAACAGTCATTAGCGAATCAGTAACTGAAACCAGCTATTACATAAGTGGCTGTGTCAGTGTCATACCTCTTCAGATGGAGGAGTTTTGGGTTAAATTCAGGTGTAATACTACATTGTCCATCAGCAACCTCTGAAGGATTCCTTCACCTTCTTGCAGAACAGCTCTATCCATGCCTGAGTGGGTAAGTGCAGTCATAGCCTTCATGCCCCAGCAGCAAATGTACTCTACACAAGTACAGCTCTATAGAGGTTACCAGTGCTGAAAACTTTACAAAGCAGAGTAATGACACTCTGAATGCAGGTAAAGCCTCAGGGAAGCAGCATGGCTGAAGAGAAGACCTGGCTTTAGGAAAGAGATAGTTTTGTAACCTCTAAATGCCGCCGAAGGCGGTCCAAACCGCTAGGCCGATGTAAGGATTCCATTGATGACTTATTTTTGATTCATTCAATCTTGCAGATGATCTGGGAGACCCATGAACGTCCTCGTGCTCTGGGTCCGTTTGTTCTGATGCTTGGGGTGTGC